CATTTTATATAATATACTTATAATACATATATAATACACATCAACATACTATACTATATACAAAAATGTAGAAAGCGTAAATAAATAACATATTTTTTCAAAATACATTTTGTATCTCATTTACTATCTACTTTTATTTTTAACAATAAACAAAAAATAGAGAATTTTCCCCACCTTGAAAAAAAAAAAAAAAAACACTCGGCCGGTATCGAACGGTATTGTTGTTGGTTATCTAATCAAAAAAATAATCATTTAATTCAAGAAAAAAAGTTTTGTTTGTTTAATCGCTTTAAATAATATTATATTATTTTCTAATAATGCGTTTAAATCATTCTTTACAATATTATAATTTTAGTATAAATCATAGTGTATTAAATCCTGATCGGATATATTTATTTTTTAGGTATTAGTTAACAAACTATCTGAAAAAAGAGTTGGTAACTAGTTTATTATTTATATATTATATATTACGATGTGTATGAATGATAAATTACTATATTTAGAAGTATTTGCGATGTAAAAAAAATCACGAAATAGGTAAAAAAAAAAGGTTTTTTTTAAGAACTTTTGTGTTTTTAGTTTGTCATTACTTATTTGTATTAAGTAACATAAACTAACAACTAACATCAAAAGTAAATTTGTCTGTTTAGAATTAGATGGACAAAACTAAGCAAAATTTGCAAAAAGTTTGCTTAGAATTTTGAAAGGTTTTGCCGATGTGCTTCTTTTTTGACTAAAACTATTTTGATATTAACCATTTTAAAACGTGCATAGAATATTTTTTAATTTTTAAATTAATCAAATTTAGCAAATATTTTATTACCTGTGTATTAATTATTTTATTCATTTAGTATGTGAATAGATAATAGTTTAAACGTAATGATACAGATTGACAAAAACTATAAGACTTGAAAACTTCTATTTTGAAAAAGCAAGAAAAATGTTATAGTATTAAGTACATATGAATTGAATACATCAATTTTTGTTAAAATAATTATTAAGTATAATGATATAGTTATTAATAATTATCAAGGAAGCTTATAGAAAAAGAAATAACTATTAATAAATTAACAACGATTATAATAAAAGTATCTCTTACGCTTTAGTATTATAAATGCACTGAATTACATTTTTAACGGAGCTTAATATACAATATTTAAGGCAAAACAAAAAATATGAACATTTTCAAATGGAACATACTTTTTTTCATAGTATAAATAATAATTATCTTTTTTCTTGTGATTGCTTGAAAATGAATAGAAATGTAACATTATTCGGGAGCAGTAAATCCGTATGTATAAATACAGTTTTATACACCTGAACCTACAACCATTATCATTATGATTTAAGTACGATACACTTTAAGTATTGTATGCATGAGGATTCCTCTTGTAAAAACAATACTCATCACATATTCATTAAATGAAATATTTATTTCCATCTGACAAGCGATGTGCTTATAGTTACGAATGAAATGTGGGAATTACGTATGATTAAAAGCATAATATGTTATATGGGATTAATGTTCGATTTGTTTGCTGTTAATGTTTTCTTTACTTCAGGTTAACAATCATAAAAATTTTACCAAATTTTATTTCTTGCCTGGCTTCTCAAATATAAAACAGAGGAGAACAATGATGTAAGTTAAATTAAATTTAGCATTTGTTCATTTCGATCATACACAGTATACACACAGTAATTTTAAGGGACAATATAAAGGATAATTGCCAGATTTTCAGCAAATTGTCGTCATCTAAGTGATGGGATTGTGTCACAAGGTATTAAGGATTATGGATTATGTATAAGATAATAAAACAAGAGGTAAAAAACATTTTGTGACAAATGACAATTGAGTAAACTAAACTTCGGCAATAGTGTGATGAATTTCATAACATTTTACCTTTTTGTCCTCAATTTTCTGTATAAATGTTATGTTTTATATTGTTGTCATCATGTACATCCATTAACAAATAACATATTAGGTCTAATTATTTAGTGAAAATATGATATTATAGCAAAACCATAAGTTACTAGAATTCGCTTTCCATATTGCGTATTATCGACTTATGACTAAATGTCAAGTAATTTAGAAATGTATTCATTTTTTTGGACAAGCTTATAATATAGGTACAAAGTTAATTAATTACTGAGACAAAATAATGTTAATATTTAGGTAAATTTGGTGCAGCAGTTTCAATATTTAGGTAGCTTACAGTTTTAATATAAACGAATTACTCGAAGTAGAAGTCATGTTAATTCAACAGAACACCTACATTATTAATTGATATAATACAACACATATTTTAGGGTATAATCATGTTTTTAATTATTTTAAACATTTTAAGAAACATTTAACAATTCGGGTTCCTAAATGAAATATAATATGGAGTAGGTAGATATCATATTGTAAGTACCTACCTGCGTATTTCATGTAGATTACACATTGCGACCTTACCCGGTATTTTAATTAATTATTCTATTATACCCACCTAACACTCGTCTCGTTTCGGTCACATTTAAACATGTGAAATTGTTATTTTTAATTTGTTAGCTAAATAATAAATAATATAAGTGAATATTTCGATCACAACTTATGTTTTTTTTCAAATTGTATATTAATTTTATAAAAATTTTAGATCAGTAAAATTGCAAAAATAGCTAGATAATACAATATTCAATCTTTCAGCCTTTATACCTAAAAATATTAAATTATTTTTTAAATTAAAAACGAAAAATATAAATTGGATGACTTAAAAATGTTTTTATTTTTAAATATTAATAATTTTTGAAATGTTTAGTCAAAATTAAGTAAATTTATCATTGACAAATAAATAGGTTGGCACATTTTGTAATAAATTATGATCACATTCAAATATTCAACAAGGTTAGTCGAGTTTCACTATACACTAAACACCCCATAATATCGTAGTGTCAATGGGATTTTCTCGTGTATTTGTTTCGTTTTTAAGAATATTATTTGATTTTATTGCAATATTGATTTTGCAATGCGTTATGGGGGTCGACCGGAAATTTGGCAGACAACGTACAAATCGAAGGGTTCCCTATATACGGCAATATACGTTATACATTTGTAATATACAGTTTATACTAATTACACTTAGATTTGCACATAACGAATTTAATTTTTGAAAACTATTTTAACACGAAGGGATTAAAAAAATATTGAACTTTGAAACGGTTATTTCAACTCGGAGGTACACAGTTTAACAGGGTTAACACAACTACGATAATTTGATATTATAATTGTAGCGAACAAAGTACATAATAATGAATACCTCCACAATAATTTTATAAGACAGAAATTCCGAAATAATATAATATTTAGAGGTTTGGACCTACATATTTTATTTCCATAAATGAAAGGTAGTGAAATACCTATAATATCTTATAAGGATATTGTAATTTAAACCTACTACTCATAGTTTGTAAATTAACAGTTAATTGCATTAATAGAACGTGCAGTTTATATATATGTTTTTGAATTATGCAAGTCTATCAAAAGTTTTTTTTTTCAAATAAAGATAAAACGTATTTTAAGTGCCAGTATACATTACATTTTTTTTATGTAACGGAGTGAAATAAACCGAGAGAGAAGTAAACGTCTTTAATAGTATCCAAACTATAATTAATAATATTTAGAAATTTCATATCTGTTATTTGAGGTTTGCGAAGGGCCAACATTTTTGTGTCATAATTTACAAGGCAATTGTATAAAATATATAACGTAGTATAAATATATTTCAAAGTTCTTGAAACCAGCAAATGTTAGATAATTAAAATATTTAAGATACAAATATACAATCAAAAAATGTTTAATTACGCTTGAAAATGTATTTAGTTTTTGGAATAACGATTATATTGTAATAGTATACCTTATTTATAACAATATTAAAACTTTAACAAAATCGTACTTTTCTAATAGGTGTATGATATATATAGTATTGCAATGATAAAAAACATCCGTTGTTAGTTGTTTTACTAAAATCTGATCTCGTATACAACGGAATTAAGTTCAATTTCTTGATAAATAATTGTTGATGTCATTTAAAAACACATGTTATAATTTCTTGATTTTATGCAAGTCAACATTTTAAAATCTTTCCCCCTCGAATATAATATTAGTTAAAATTAAAACCGTACACATAATTAGGATATAAAACTATATAATATTGTGGTGTCACCAAAACTATTATTTATAGCTCCGACATACCTGAAAAGTAGAACATACAAACGCATATAAAGCAAATATTGTTGACATTATTTCTCAAATATTATATAATATTCGTGTGCACAACAGTTACCTAGTACAATATTATATTATAATTTATAATTTACAATGACAACTAGCAGCAGGCAGGTAAGTCGTAGGTGCGCTGTACAATAATCGTGTCTGTCATTACATCGTAGGTACTTCAATAACATACTTAAGCTACTAAAATGCGAAATATAAACAATTATAGCAGATAAATGTGTATAATTATTTGTTTAATTGTCAGTTATTGCAATATTATGTATATACCACACACTGCACATATGTGCACTGTTCTAACGCCGTACATATAGTCCACCTGCACTAGAAGCCTATATTATGACATTGAAGACAAATAAATAAAACTAATGTTTATGTACCACAATATTATATATGCACAGGAAATCGTTGCGATTTTCAAAACATCGGTAAACAGATAACGACAACAACAACAGAATGGCAAAAATTGTAATTAATCGCAGCTGACGACGTAGCTATATGATAGATAGACAATATATACACGAACGTTTTGTTGTTGTCGGCACGTCATCGCGGTATTTTGACGGGACGATTATATCATAATACAATATTATTAATTATTATAATATACCTACACTAACGATATAATTATAATAATTATTATTATTAATGCATGTAGTGACGGCGGCGACGATTGTAGAAAAAAAAAAGTAAAAATAAAATTCGCGTGCTCGTATCATTAACTACTCACCGCTGGTCGGCGGCGTCTACTCGGCGTCGGCGGCGGCGGCGGCGGCGGCGGCGGTCTCGCTACAAGAGAACACGGCCCTGCATTTTGCGCCGGCGGGGCCCACGTCCGTCGCTGTCCGTCGGCCGTGGAGATGTGTCGTCTGTCGGCGCGCGCGAACCGCACACGGAGAGGACCACCACCACCAGACCGAGCAACAGAGAGAACACCTCCTGCTGGTGCTGCTGCCGCTGGTGCTCTGCATGTATACGCGGCGCACAGTCACCGTGCGTCGGTGTGCGCGCTTAACCCGCCGCCGCCGCCGCCACCGACCGGGAGTGCGCGTATCGACCGGGCGCGGGCAGCCCCCCGGAGACTGGGCCCGGTGGACCACCAACGCAAGCGCCGTCCCGACTTTTGTGGGTGGACGACGGGGTGGTCTGTGGCCGGCGGTGGTGGTGGGTGGTGGGTGTCGGGCGGCGGCGGCGGCAGCGGTGGTGGCATTCTCCGATGAGGCGCGCGCGACGACGACCCCGCCGAGGGCCTAATGAAGCGCGAGCGATTGACGTTCCGCAGGAGTTTTTTTTTCAAAATAAAAAACGTTCGTTTTATCAGTCTCCGCCGTTCCCTCCGCGAGAACCCTCCACGGGTAGACAGTTTTTTCTTGGTACTCATTGGTCGGTAGAGGAGGTGATCACTGCAGGACGTCTGCGGTGGTTGACCGGACGGATGTGTGATGTAATAATCAGTAATTATTTAGACATAATACGGGTACGGATATACGGCAAGCACGTCGGTGACACCAGGGTTAAAATTCCGGGGGGGGGGGGGGGGTCTGCAGACCTAACCAAAACTGTTACCTTCATATAACCCGTATGGAGGCTACTCCCACACCTCTCTCCAACATACTGCAGCCATCAGAAATTTTAGAGCGAAGCGAATTTACGTGACACTATCGTGAGCCAAGTTAGCCTAAGCCAATCATAGAAATGGTCTACACAAAAATATTCTACACACCTACCACTATATTATCTTATTGACTTTTTTTTTAACATTAATAACTATGTATAACGCAATAGTAACAAAAAACCAAACACCATTTCATAGTCAACATTTTTATTTTTTTTTTGAGCATCCCCAATCCACCCGTAGTAGTGGCATTTGCAACGAATCATACAGCAAATACAATACAATTACTAAAATTAACAGGAGCAAACGATAATACTATGCACGTAATTATTTTTATATAGCTGTAATAAAAATAATAATAATTATACAATAATACGTATAAACGTGAACAATTATCAGCAGTGAAAATTATTCTGGACCCCTATAGGGTATTAGGGGATTAACGCGGCTGCGACTCCCTCCCCAGTTGTTGCCACTGCTTGGCCGAGAGAATAGTTTATTGTTCATATTAAATATTAATGTAACACACACACACACACACACACACACACAGGCGCCAACCATATTATATTATATATTATTTAAATATGACAACTTCGTTATAGAAACGTGATCGTGATCGCAATAACTACACCATCGTGTCCTTAGATCAGGAATTGGTTAACTAAAGCTCGTGTGGGAAATTTAATCAACTTGATGCGGCTCGGGAACCAAGACTTTAAAGTTGTAAAATAAAATAAAACCGTGATACGAATAATGTTAAATGTACCCATTTTTTGCGAGTCGTAAACATTTTTATTTTTACTCCGTTGCCGTATTAATTCTCCTTAACGCGAGTAATGCGAATACAAAGTATATAGTCCTACTATTATATTGTACAGAGTAATTCTCGCAAATATATACAATATTATGGTTGCATCGATTTGAGTTGAAATAGTAAAAATTATCATGTGAGATTTTTGGGGCTAGAGTAAAGTGTTAAGACTCTAAGAACGATAAAAAAATCAATTGCATAATGTCGATCCCACAAAATGGCGATCCCACGCCTCTCCTTTGTACCATTTGCTAATGAACGACTTTTGAGTCAAATCATACGAATATAAGCGAGTCTTACACGAGCAGATATTATAAGATTACTTTTGCTTGAAATATTATAAAAAAATAAAATATAAAAGAATATTGCATGAAGTCGGTAAGCTGACATTTATGCCTGATAACTTATATTAAAGGGTTTTACTGAAAATCGTAGTGCAGTCGGGTCACTCGATTGTTATATATGTTGAGCAATTTTTTTCTCGGTTTGTCCAAACCTACTCATATATAGTCATATCATATCGTATGTACACTCGCACAACTATGAACTAATAAGTATACTAATATATATTGTACATAAATCCGAGGGTCGACGGTCACGGCTACGATCGGCTTGGCTTCGATTGGAGCTCCGTTTTCACAGTGGCAGCAGCGAATTCGTAATACTCGATAGGATGTAGGTTTGTGGTGGATACAGTGCGAAGTAAAAAAAGAGACTACGTGTAACTTTTGACCCCCGAGAAGCGCGCAGCTCGACTTCCGGTTAGTATCAACGAGTGACGAAGCGCCGGGTGGCTCGTAATAAAAGTGGGATCGTGCCGGTGGCGTAACTAAAACTTTGATTGCTCGTGGCAAAAAAATCCAGCGGGCCCTTACAAATTTGTAATATGAAGAGCATGCACTTACTCACACAATTTATACCTAGACCCACCCCTGCTATAAAAGGTAATAAATAATTAAAAGCATATTTATTATACTATTATGAATAATATGGTCATTTTTTATTACACATTATAATAAGAATCTTATTTTTTTAAATATTATAAATAACCACTTATTTTAGGCAGTTTTGATACTTTTTCTTGTTCTTCCATTTTTTTACGCTTTTCATAGCCGCTAGGTACTTTTTTTGACATGATCACAATATTAATTATTTGGTTCAACGAGTGACGACGACTCACAACTGATGACAGAATAACTAATGACAAAATAATATCGAAAAACGACGGTTATTTCAATTTTCAGCTGGGCAGTATAATAGACTGTATAGTGTATGATATGATAAATGATAATTGATAACGAATCGAGAAATCAACAGACTTCTGAGACTTCAATACGGTATCCTAGACTTCTAAGCGTGTTGCGTGTATCAGTTATTTTTCTAGTTATTACATTTATTTTACTTTAAAGTGATTTAATTTTACTAGAACTTATTAATAACTAAAATTCTATAATAATGGTAATCTGTTTTATTTAAATTGCCGCATTTTTAAGAGGGCCCTCCCCGGCGTTCTGGGGCCCTGGGCCCGTGGCACTTGCCCGTCATGCCACCCAATTGGTACGCCACTGGATCGTGCATATCAGTCGAATACATTATTTCCAGGCTACTTGCAGGAATCATATAGGCAACATCATAATCACTGCAACGATAATTCAAAACGCATTTATAATTTGGGTGTATATTGCATTGTGTGGGTGAAATTGTGTAACGCTACACATCCATTGTATTAATACTTAAAAATGTAAGGTGCTTAAAACATACAGGTGGGGTTAAAGGCCGATCTTTTTCATTTTCTCGCACAACTGTGATATTTGTTGACATGATGATGATAAAATAACTGAACACATACCCAAGTATTATAATATTGAAGAATAGAATATCCACGTGAGCTACAATTCTTGGTTTATTCGCGTACACTCGGTTGAATGACAAGAGTGTGTCTAGCCCCGACTTCGAGGACTTTTTGTGCGTTCTGGAGTGTATACATGACAGGATTCCTTTCATTATTGTTCTTTATTTTTATTCATATGTTTATATTATTAAAATGATAATATTTTTTAGTATATAGTTACACTGCAGTTCAGTACCTATATATTACTATGCAGGATCGTATAAAATATAATGCAATAAAAATTGTTAGTGGGACAGTTTTGATTTGCTTCCGTCTCTATATTATGTATTATTAGCTATTATAATAATAAATAGTGTTAAACGGCATAATTTTGTCTACAAAGCCAAAAATATTTACAACTTTTAATTCGTATATACTAATTGTAGTAAAATAATATTGGGAGTGTGTGTTATTTAACTTAAATTCTGCATAAAAATAATACAATTTGATCAAAAAGTTTAGGTCGGTTTACAAAAATAAATAAAATCACTGAAGGTAATTGATTAAAGATTATAAATTAAATATTGTATAAAGTTTATTCATTTTCAAGTATAACTAGGTAAATCATAAAAAAACCAGAGTACGTGTTTTCGAAGTAGTGTGACTGAACTCATTTACTTACGCCATTTCACCGTATTATTCTTATACAGATCTAAATGGATTGCAATTTTTCAATACTTATGAGTTTATGATTTTTTTTCATAATTTGTCAAAATATGTTATTTGTCCTACATAATATCGAATTATGAATAGAATATTGTCAAACGATTATTGAATCACTAGACTCTAAAGTAATGTAAAAGTTATATTTATAAACTATAAGTTCAAGACGTACTTAAATAGTATAATTTTTGGAATAAATCCACATACTCGTCTAAGAATGATTCTAAAAACAAGAATAATTTGAAAAAATTAGTGTATAAATATTAGTACCTATATTATCTATTTTACATCTTTCGCCCATAACAATTGATGAAGAATAAGATCAATAATATAGAATACACTTTATTAAAAATACAAAAATGAAAAATATTAATTCAAAAACTAAATTAACACGTAAAAGTTACAGATGCTTATTAAACCGTGATATTTATAAATTGTAAATTGATTCTGTAGTGAGTGTCGTGTGTCAGATCACTGATTTTGAGAGAAGACTTTTAAGAGTTCGTCCACGCGAGTACGTATTTCCAGTAAAAATCCATGTGGGCGATTAAAAATTTCAACATGAAACATTATGTAATATAAGCATATTTGATGCAAAATCTTAAAACGAATTAATCAAATTAGTTAAACATACAGTTCGATTATCAGCAATTTATTCGAAAACTTACTATAGTATATGTAACGTAGTCATTAAGTACTTTAGAATAAGTGATAATAAGTATTGGGTAATTAATAATTTTTAATCGTTTTGTGTTCATCTATAATCTAAAAAGTTACATCCACGTTTGATATTTCTTAATTTTGAAAATTACTTATTATAGGAACTGTATACAGTTAGGTGCAGTTGTAGTTTGTATAATGTATGTGCATGTTAATTGTTAACTGTACGCCTATAATACATACTTTTCGTGTTATTTTCACCTATACAAAGACGTCTAATGTAAACTCGACACGAATGACAGGTAGATTATCATAATTTATAGGGTAGGCATACATGATA